TTTGGGGCGTTACAATATTAAATGGGTAATATATGAATAATATGCGATTTAGATGGAGATATTATAGAAAAGGGGACAAAAGTGTCATATGAAGGGGGGTGTAGCCATCCTTTAAGTGACAAGTGTGTTTTATTATTAAAAAAAAAATTCAGCCAAAAATGGACATTTGTCGAATGAGGTCACATGCATTGCAAGCATGGTGAGGTGAGCTAGAGGAGTTTTGGTTGTAAATTGCCATGAAGCGATGGCCAAAACGCAAAACAAGGTGAAGAGAGAGGGAAAAAATTCATGAGATCTTGAGGTCAAAAATTGAACAATGATTTTACTTCAAATTGTTATCAAATTCTAATATTTTGTTCAGGGTATTTTGAATTTCATATGTATCGAAGTCATTTGAGGTACGAGATAATGTACACTATATAGAGTCTTTTAAATTTCTTTGCAAAGAGTGTCCTTTGATTGATATATGTACAAAGTTATTGTAATAATATATGTGAAATTTGGGAATTTTGGATTTTACTTGGGATTGGAGAAATTGGTTGGGTATTGTATCTCTTGTGGATGTTTGAAAGACCATGAGTGGCCGTTGACCGGGTACTTGGGATTGAATTTTTCCTACCACTCGTAGTGGGGTTGGTGCTTTGCGAGGACTAAACCACTATTCGCTCACGGGTATCAAGGTTGAGAGTTAATAAACTATTCTTGGGTTAGATTCGTCACTGCAAATGCATTGGTATACGCCCTTCCTAAAGTTGGATATCCTTGCAAAGATTGGATGCGTGTGTGCGGGCCAGGATGTTCTCGATGTGTTTATTCATGCGAAGTCATATATCATACATGAGATATAAGTTGTGGTTTAATATACATTGTGAGCTATTGTTTATTGTGCAAATGGTTGGTTCTGGTTTATTGTGAAAATGAGTTTATGGTGGAATTAGTTTATTATGAAATTGATTATTGTGGAAATGATAACTTGTTGGAATTGTTATTTTTGGAAATTGGTTTTACTTTTTCATTTAATTATTGTTATTGTGTAAACTTGAAATCCATTGAAATATCTCTGTTTTCCTTCAAAAGCTATATATGATATTTGTGAAATGAGACCGACCGTTTTATATACTTTTGAAACCTTGTTCGAGTTTGGGAGGATTTTCCTACAGAGCTTAGTGGTTACCCCCTACAAATAACATTCTTTTCAAATTATGGTCTAGAGGAGGAGCTCGAAGTTGATGAGCCGATACATTGGGAAGTTCCAATAGATGGGCACGTGGATCCCGAGGTAGACGTTTAGAGCTACATTTTCTTATATTCCAGACTAAAAAATTCATTTTGGGACAATGTGAAGTCTAATATTTTTGTTATTCCACTGCAAGATAATAGTTGATTTTTGAGATGTAATTGTCATAGTTGGGCATATTCTTTTGAACATGTTGTATATACTGTGGATGATGAATGAAATTCTCTTTAGTTATGAAGTTCATTTAGTTGCTCTCATCATGTGAATGGTTTTAGATAGTAATGTCGTTCAAGGAAGATTTTGGGGTATTATAGTATATTTCCTTGCTTTTAATATTTTTCATAATTATCTCAAAGGGGAGGACCAGAGTTGAAATATGAGAGAATTGCAACTTTATAATTTTGTGGTGATATATAATTTGAACAGATTATTTTGTATATTATGAAGAGAATTTTTTATCGAGGTAATTAGAGCTTTGACCCATGTACATTTGGAGATATATTTATGATCGTGGTATTGTGGTCGATTGATTTATCAAGTAATGCGACGTGATTGTGACACCCCAAATTCATGGGGTCCGTTAATTTCCCATCAACCCACGGAATGCCCGTGGATACCGTATAACTCGATATCGTACCGTTGTGTCTCATTTACCGGGATCCATAATTTAACGAAATCCGGGCAGAGTCTCCTTTGTACAGGAAGCTCTACCCCAAAACACAATCTGTGCAATCAACATTTACATGACCCATCCGAGGTCCAATATAATACCATAACCACACAGGGTCTATTTTATACATAAAACTTGACCACACCGAGTCCAATCATCATATTTATATCAAAATATGCAAAGTTATATTAAAACAGTCCATATATACTCTATTACAATTCCTTTACACATTACATGCTAAAATTTAATTACAAATCTACTTTTACAAAAAAAAAAAATGGATTGGAAGCCACAAGTCGGCTTTTCTTCAACCATGTGACCCTGATTGTGAGCCGTCCATTGGTGCATGACCCACACCTGAAATGTTTCCCGTATAGGGTGAGTCAATGCCCAGTAGAATAATCCCTACAGAGGTTACTCATCACCTAAAATGCATATGCAATGTATAAATGCAACATTTCACAACAAGTATTCTCTCCAACAATAACATATAATACAATGTTGGAAAATCATGATGCGTTGCCAAGTAATGAGATGAAACTCACCCATGCATGCTATCCCGAGCCCACACCGACTCCCACAACACAATGCGACACTTACGTGTAAAACAAACGTCTTTGATGAAACACATCCAAAGATCATTTTGAAATCAACCATATGTCATAAAACTAATTCATTCTTGGATGTTTCCCATCAAATGAATAATTTATATTTCAAAATCATGTGCCTTTATAGGGTATCGGATTCAGGAATCGCACCTCTGGCTCCGTACGCCGTTACACTTTTCTGGAATTTCACCGCCGGTAAGTGTATGAACCAAGTGGTCGGGTTTTTCACCCGAGGGAGTGTCTAGCCCTACTTGCTATACCCGACACAAGTTTTCTTATGCATGTCACCGTGCGACTCCGTAGGACGTTCCATCCCACTTTCTCGAGCCTACCATTAAGTACCAATGTTGGTGTTGATCACCCCATGCAACCCTACACCCACACTCATGCGTGTAGCCCATGAATGTGATGTTAATTCCATGTCCATATTGCAATGCATGCCAAATGACAATTTTTAAATATCATTGTATACCATGACAATTAATATCATTTGCATATAATCACATAACCATTTCAAGTTCAATATATCCAAGAGCATATATCAACACTCCATCAACATGATAACACATAATACATGCTAATATTACATTTAATTCACAAGGCATAATATAAAACACAAAGCATGCCCACATGATCCCAATTTCCAAGGGATTACATAAATACTTCCATATACCAAAATCAAGCCAAGATTTTATATGGATCATTCAAACAAAATAAAAATCAGAATATATGATTTTTATATAACCAATTATCTAAACATTCAAGAAATCACAAACTAGCACTTTCTAACTACCAATTCACACTAGAATTGATCCTACCCATTTCCATAGCACCAATCATAATGAAAAAACATTAGAAATACCCAAAACAGCCGACATGAACCTTATGGACACCTTAGGTTAGAAATAGGTCCGAGTAGGAGGAACCCTAACTCTTGAAGCGTAAAGAATTTGTAGGAAGTTTCAAGAACAAGATTGAAGTCCAAAGCTTAGATTTCTCCAAAATCCTCCCTTTGAATCTTCGGTGAAAATCTTTGTTTTTGGTACCCACGCGTAGCTCTCGTCGCGTAGATCGACTTTAATTCTTGGCCCGACGAATTCCGACCGACGGAACTCCGAGAATCGGCGAAAGAAAGCTTGAAGAATTATATTTTTTTCTTCTTTGATCTTGGGTCTGATCCAGCCGGCCAAATGAAGAGCAAATATCTGATTTTTCAGATATTTGCCCACTTTTGTACTTTCTAAACACTTGGCCCTCGTCGCGCCAAGTGTCGTCCTTTGTCCGGGTCCGTTTTCATCCGAAAACGATTAAATTTCGTACCGATTTAAGCTCAAAATATTTTATATGAAATTTATTTAAAATATTTTTCAAATTTTCAAATTTTTATAAAAATTTCGTTTTTAGGGGTCATCGAACACCCGTCACCTCGAAAAACGTGAAAAATCTAACTATCTCAGAATTCGACGAAATTTGTCTGGGTAACTAGATTTCGTGAGACGAATCCAACGGTGAGGTCCGTTTCATCATCCGAGGTCTATAAAAATACCAGTTTTTTTTTAACCCACACTATAATGGCAAATTACCATTTTGCCATTTTTTTCAGAAAAAGTTAAAATTTTTCCCGGGTTTCACAGTGATGGTGAGTGCAGTAACTAATTTAGGCCGTGTTTTCTTTAAGCATGCATTTACCAAATTACTAGCATTGAAATTCTATGGTACTATTTCCATTTTTTTAATAATTAATCACCAAATTACAGTTTTTTTTATTGGTCTAGGTAAAATTTGGATCTGTATTGTTTGTTGTGACATGTTGATGGGGCAAGAGGATGGCTACCATGAGGTGTGCCTAGGTTAAAGAATAAACATTGATAGTAGCAATCACTACAATTTTGCTACTACCTACAAGTGTATTGTATAATTACGATTATTTATCATTGTTTTTTCCCAAAAGGTCATTATTTATCATTTTTAATGGTTAATATCACTATGATGTTGTGGTAATTTGTAGATAGCCGTGTTTAGACAAGACTATAATATGACGATGAGTTCAGTAATTGGTTTAGGTATGATTATGAGATATATAAATTTTGTGACAAGTTGATATTTATTTGGACTCCTATTTTTAGAGAAAATTCCGTTAGAATTTTTTATAAAATTAGCAAAACCCATATTGAATTCAATTTCTCTTATTCAAGCAATGGAAGGAGAAATGTTCCAAATCAACTACTTTTTTTTATGTTAGATGGTATCTTCAGGCACCGGTTGTCTATAGTTTGGACATTGTTAGTATTGCATTAGGTTTTGTGTCATTTTGGGTTTAGTGTTTAGAGTTTAGGGTTTTAGGGTTTAGGTTTAGTCAAGGGCAGTTATTGTTTTTCTAGCGAGAGAAGCTCTCACCACTCTCTAGGTTTTCTTTGCTTTTTCCTACATTCTTGATCTTTATGCTTTGTTCTGCGCATTTATTATGACTGCTGATCAAAATCAGGGTCAAATCCCTCCTAAGCCACCGGATGTTTCCCTTATTTCCATCACAACCCCCAAGATTTCTTTAAATCCTTTAACCCAGTCAACATCGGCACACTTTACCGATATTGTTCAGAATGGGGCAAAAGCTTCAACAACGTTGCAAGATGTCACAAAGAACTCTTGTATGCCTCCTACAAACCCGAATCTACAATCTACAACAGATATTGCAAAAATCCTTCCACAATCGGTGCAATTGTCCGAGTTAGGGCAGATGGTGCAAATGCTTCAGGATCGCAACAGGTAATCGCAAACTCCTGTGGTATCCTCCCCACAAATCCCAATCTCCAACCCGGATCTGATATTACAAAAAATTTTGCTCCCCTTTTCAAAAAAACCCCCATCAACTTCGCCTCCTTTGGTGTTCGTTTTTCCTTCGGCTCCTTCGAGCTCTTCGGATACACAGTCTCCACAGCCGATTGAAGGGGTCTCCTCTCCAATGCCTTCAGCATCCTATTTTAGGCCAGCCAAACGGGTGGTTTTCAATAACGGGGAACCTGGGATGTATTGGTCTTCTGAGGAAACTCAAACTCTCTCAAAGAAGTTCCACCAGACCTTAATAGGAAAATGCGCATATGGTTAACCATCAGTTGGTGTTATCAGGGAATTCATCACTACCAGATGGCTCCTGAAAGGCAACTTCACTGTCGGGGTCTTGGATCCAAGACACGCATTGATTACAATGAGGATTACGTCAAGACATGGTTAAAGGATGCTGTGACACCCCAAAATCTGGGGGTCCGTTGATTCCCCATCAACCCGTGGATACCGAGTAATTTGATATCACGCCATTATGCGCCATTTACTGGAAACCATAATTTTTTATGAAATTCGGGCAGAGTCTCCTTTGTACGGGAAGCTCTACCAAAAACTCAACCTGTGCAATCATATAATAACAAGACCCATCCGAGGTCCAATATTCAACAATGACCACACCGGGTCCAATTATCCATATTTATATCAACACATGCAAAGTTAGTTTAACAATAGTCTATATAAGTTCTATTACAATTATTTGCAAAATATTACATGTCCAAAACATTATTTCCACAAATGTTTTACATTATCACAAAATAAAGCCACATTCGGCTTTCTTCAAACATGAGGGTCCAAATTGGAGCCATCTACCGATGTATCTCTCCCACCTGAAATGTTTTGCAGTATAAGGTGAGTTAACGCCCAGTAGAATAATCCCTCTAGAGGCTACTCTCCACCTTAGATGCATATGTGGTGTATATAAGCAACAAACAACATTTAACAATCATTCCATACAATAATATGCATTAAATGTGGAATGTAATCATGTCATGCCATGAAATGAGATGATACTCACTCATACACTTAAACCCAAGTCATCATCGACTCCCACGACACAATGCAATGCCAAGGTATACTGAATCCGTCAATTGACGAAAAAATTCACCAAATGATCGTTTGAAATAAAAGTTGTTTTATTATAAAACCAAATCATTAATGGGTGTTACTCATTTTATGAGTACTTTATAAATCAAAATCTTGTGTCTTGTTGGGCAACGGATTTTGGATTTTATACCGCCGGTTCCGTACACCATACTACACTTTTTTGGAATTTCACTATAGGGGAATGTATAACCAAGTCGCCGAGTCTTGCACCCGAGGGGGGAATCTACCCCTTCTTGCTATACCCGACACAAGTTTTTCTTTCATGCAACCATGTGACTCATTCAGATTTTCAACCCAACTTTTTCGAGTCTACCCATTAATCACCAAGAATGGTGTTTAATTAACCATGCATACACACATCCACACTCATGACTCATGCCCATGAATGTGATGCCAATTCCTTGTTCATATTGCAATGCATGCCAAAGGAACAATTTTTACATATCAATGTCTACCATGGCGATTTATATCATATGCTAATAATCCCCATAATTTCATCACAATGTCAAAACATCAACTAGCATGTGTCAACATTTATATTCAACACAATTGACAAGCATGTTATCACATAATCTATGTCAAAAACACACTTAATTTAAAAGACAAAATATAGCACATATTTCAGCCCACAAGAAAATCAGCCCATAGTGGCCCAAAATTTAGCCACTAAACCGCCCCAAAATAGGCCCTAAAATAGCCCCCAAAACAGTCTGTATACAGCCCCTAATTAGTGCACAAAACAGCCCCAATTTCAGTACCAAAACAGTCCGTAATTCAGCCCCTTAACAGTCCAAAATTCAGCCCCTTAACAGTCTATTTGGACAGCCCACATATAAACCATTTTCAGCCACTAAAAGCCCACTTAAGGTAAGAATAAAACCAAGGTAGGAGCGAACCCTACCTCTTGTAGCGTGTAAGAAGTGGTAGAACTTCTAAAAAACACCAAAACAAGCCCAAGAACCTTTGATTCCTCCAAAGTCTTTTCTTTGCACCTTCGGTGAAATCCACTTTTCTTGGTACGTACACGTAACCCTCGTCGAGGAGATGAACTTTGATTCTTGACTCGACGAATTCCGACCGACGAAACTCCGAGAATCTTGGATTGAAGCTTGAAGAACTTACTTGTTTTTCTCTCTTTTCATTCTCTTCTCTCTATGGCCGGCCAAGGGTCAAGAACATGAGATATTTTTTCCAAAATATTTAAGTCAAGTAGGTATTTATAGTCCTGAATGTGTGGTCCACATCGCACCGCATATTTCAGACTTCCGGGTCCGTTTTTCGTTCCGAAACGATTTGTTATACCTCAGATTTAGTTAAAATTAATTTTATTGGAACTTTAACTTGATTTTAAGAAAAAATTTAAAAAATTCATTTTTGGGGACCTTTAAAATGTCATTCGCCTCGTAGTTGCCTTGAACAACGTGCAAAAATTCGTCTATCTCGAAATTCGACGAAATTTGACAGGGTGATTAGATTTTGCGATACGAATCCAACGGCGAACTCTGTTTCCTCAACCGAGGTCTAGAACATGAGTATTTTAAATACGCATTAGGATGACAAATTAACATTTTACCCTTTCTAAGAAAAAGTTCAAATTTTCCCGGGTTTCACAGATGCAACATACATCGAGGGCTTCTTGTTCAGGTTCTTCAAGTGGTTTCCGGAGTTCCTGCCTGGGATTGAACCACCAGTGGTTCCTATTTGGATTTCTCTCCCAAGTTTGCCAATTCACCTCTTTGATAAGGAGAGCCTTCGGGACATTTTGAGTCCCATCGGGAGAATCCTTGTAATTGACTCACCCACCCTCCTATTATCTAGGCCAGGTGTGGCTAGCGTATGTGTCGAAGTTAATTTATTAGCTGATAACCCATCTCGTCTTTGGCTGGATTTTGGCGGAACAAGTGGGCGTTGGCAAAAGATTAATTATGAAAAATTGGTGAAGTATTGTGCTGGGTGTTTGAAAGAAGGCCATGGGATGCTCGAGTGTCGTAAAGGCAAAAGGGAAGAGGAAAACAAAGTGGACAAACAGGCATACAACCCTAAGGAGGAAAGAAAGCAGAAAGCTGGCATCTCGAAAAAAGACGAGGACCTTAAGGGGAAAGATAAGGCATGGCAGAAAGTCACAAAAAAAGCGAATTCCAAAGTAACCGTGAAAGAGGGTCACCAAGCACCACAGTTTCTCGAATCCTATAAATTTAGATGTAGGAGGAGAGGAGGATGCCAATAAATTTAATGTGTTAAGAGGAGAGCATTCGGGCAAGGATGTCGCAGAGGAGGGAAAAGATGAAACGGAAAATCATAACGGGGATTCAATTACTTAAAAAAGCACTGTTGTAAGTTCTGAGGCAAAAAACAAGGAGGATTTGGTTACTGTAACACCGGATGAGGAGAGGTTACAGGGCGCAGAAAAGGAGAAAGAAATGTCATTAATGGAGGTATCTCCCGAAAGAGGTGAAAAGGGTATACAGAACGGTATGGATAATGCTCTATTTTCTCAACCTCAGGCGGAAGGGTCTAAAGAGGTGCAACAGATGGCAGGTACAGTAATGTGCTCGTTAAATAAACAATCTCATTCACCTACCTCATCTTCTTTCTTTGTGGATCATCTGTATGAGCTAAGAGGCAGACAAAATTACACCGTGGATGACGAAAGTGGACTCAGGAGGGATAAAGAACCACCAGACAGGGGCTTTTACTCTGATCAAGAAAGCTCAAAAAATTGGGCTGATTCAAGTGAAGATGCCACTGTAAATGAAGATCAAGGAATTATCTTGCTAAACCAAACAACAGTGAACTACTCCGACTGCAGTACTGGGCATAGTCCCAGAGGTAATGATGAAACAAATTCTTTATGATGAATTTCCTAATGTGGAATGTAAGGGGTGCTGGAAAAGAGAGCCTAAGAAGCAAATTAAAGAAATTAATTGTAATGAATAAGGTGAGTCTTCTCGCTGTTATTGAACCAAAAATGTCCCATACCAAACTAAGGAATTTTGGTCTTGCTGTTGGGTTAAATTCTTTTATGGCAAACACAAAGGCAGAGAAAAATATGTGGCTTTTATGGAATGATAACTTGGAAGTTAAGAGCATGCTGCACTTTGAACAAGCTATGACCGTGTCAGTCTCCTACCAGGGAGCTGATCCAGTGTTAGTTACGGTGGTGTATGGTTGTTGTGACTTACTTGTTAAGGAGGCCCTTGTGGGGACACTTACAGGTTATTTCTACATCCTTTGCTATGCCCTGGTTGGTGATGGGGGATTTTAACATTGTGATGAGGTCAAATGAAAGAATGGGGGGGTGCCTCTCCATCTGTGTTGGCAATGGATGAATTTGGGGACTGTATTCAATCGGAGGGGCTAATTCGAGAATGTGGCAACGGCTGGACAGAATGTTTGCTAACGCTGAGAACTTCTTCCTCAAACTAAAAATGCTAAAGTTTAATATCAAAAAATGGAACAAGGAGGTGTTTGGGAACATTTTTGAAAAGATTAGTATGCAGGAATTGGCTTTGCGAGAGGCAGAACGTTCTGTGGATGATAACTACTCTGCAAGAAAGAATCTAGAGGAAACACTTAGGTTGGAAGAATTGTACTGGAGACAAAAAGCTAACATAAAATGGGCACTACACGGGGAGAGGAATACCAAGTTCTTTCATGCTTTGGCCAAAGGGAAGGCTGTGAGGAACAGACTGATGAGGATTAAAGGTGAAGATGGTGAATGGTGTGACTCTGAGGAGGAGATCTCTCAACAGGCCACAACCTTTTTTGCTAAACTGTACATGTCAGAGGACCATGGGCTTGATGAAGAGCTATTTGGGGTTATTCCTAAACTTGTTGGACCAGCGGCTAACGAGATCTTGACTATGACTGCTACCTTAACCGAAGTGAAACAGGTTGTCTTTTCTATGTCTGTGGAAAGCGTCCCTGGCGCTGACGGTTTTTCTGGTAGATTCTTTCAAGTAGCATGGGATATTGTTAAAAGCGACCTTTTGGAGGCGGTTAATTTTTTCTTGAGTGGGGGAGTGATTCCAAGATCTGTTAACTCCACACTCCTTGTGTTTGATTCCAAAAGTGATGAAGCCTTGCTCTTTCACAGACTTTAGGCCCATAAGCCTATGCAATTTTTTGTACAAAGTCTTCACGAAGGTCCTATCCAATAGACTTGTGGCTCTCATTCCGTCTCTGATCTCAAATGCAAAACACGGTTTTGTCAAAGGGAGAGGGATTGGGGATTGTATTTCTTTAGCACAGTTAATGGTGGGCGAGCTTGATAGAAAAGTCGAAGCAGGCAACGTGATTCTTAAATTGGATATGATGAAGGCATATGACCGCATTGGTGTGGGACTTTTTGGAAAGAACTTTGGGCTGTTTTGGTTTTTCAAACTTATTTGTTTCCATCATTGGTAACTTCCTAAAGAACCAATTCTTCTCGGTCTGCTTGAATGGGAAAAGATTTGGCAATTTTCCTTCGTCTAGAGGGTTGAGACAAGGTGGCCCAATCTCACCTGCTCTCTTTATTTTGGCCAAGGAAGTGTTAAGCAGGGGCTTGATGAAGCTGTATGGTGAAGGCAGAATCAAGGCTTTTCATGCAGGGAGGGGTGCTCTTCTTATTTCTCATCCTCTTTTTGCAGATGACACTCTGTTGTTTCTTAGGGGGAATAAACTATCCATGGAACAAATGGTGAGATTTTTGGCAAGATACGAGGAGTGCTCTGGTCAGAGAATAAGCAAGCAGAAAAGTTCCTTAATCTGCTCCTCCAAAATTCCCCTGGTCAGGAGAATGACACTTTCCAAAATTGCACAAATTCCAATTAAACAATGCCCCTTCACCTACCTAGGCTGCCCCATAATTAGAGGAAGATATAAACTCCGGGATTTTGAGGAAGTGGTTCTAAAATTCAAGGCTAAATTGGAAGGGTGGTATGCATGCTTGCTATCAAACATGGGCAGAATTGTATTGGTTCAATCGGTCCTCAGTGCAGTCCCTATTCACTTGCTCTCTTGTCTTAGGGTGCCCAAAGGCATCCTGGTCAAGTTGAAGTCTTTGATGGCCTCCTTTATTTGGTCAGGCAGGATGGGGGAGAGGAAAAGGCATTGAGTTTCAAGATATTTTAAGACCCAAGCAAGAGGGGGGCTTGGAATTCGTAAATTTGAGGACATCCAAACTGCTTTTCGATGGAAGCAGGTATGGGGAATTCTAAAGGGTGACTCTCTTTGGGCGAACATGTTTAGAGCAAAATTCTTAAAAGGCAAACACATGTTATGATGTCTGGGCACTGCAAAAGCTCGTACATTTCGAATGCTGCAACCTTTCTTTTGCTTGGTTATGGAGAACTCCTAGGTTTTGGTGGGAAACGGGAAGTCTGTGGATTTTTGGTGCACGAACTGGGCAGGATCTGGCCCTTTATTGCTCAGGCACGATGTCTCCCCCTCGAGCTTTCTAAGTCTAGATGCGATATGGGCAAGAGGGGACTGGTAGTGGCAGTTATTGGGAGTCCAGATTTCTGAGCAATTAAAGCACGAAATCCATAACTCTGGGATTCGTTTATGTGGCAAAGAAGATCGATTGATATGGAAATTAACCGAGTCGGGAGAGTTCAATGTCAAATCAGCTTGGCAGGCGGTGAGAACTTCAAATAACCCTGTGCCTATAACCTCTGCGATCTAGAACCAATCTGTCTTTCCAAGTGCAAAACTGCTGGGATGGAAGATACATATGAAAGCTGTGGTGGTGGACTCAAATTTCCAACGTATTGGCGTTGAATTGGCCAGTAGATGCCCTCTATGCCATCAGGAAGTGGAAACTACGACTCACCTATTCACACAATGCAACTTTACTAAAGAGGTTTGGGGGAAGCTTGCTGCCTTTTGTGGATTTCAGATTTTCTCGGCTGAATCTCCCATGGTTCGTATGATGAGGTTGATCAGAATTTAAAAAAAAAACTCTGTTAGCAATAACCTATTAAGAGGTACTTCACTGGTGGTCTTTTAGAGACTATGGAGGGAGCGATGCAGAAGAGTCTATGAAGATATCTCACTTTCGGCCCATGCTGTTTTTCTTGATATTTGCTCCTCTTTGCGTCTTCGGGCTTATGGTACTCGTCCCAAGGCAAAGGAAGGCATGATGGGGATGGATCTTTTGAGGGCCTTAAAGGTGGAGATGAGGCAGGAACTGGAACCAAAAATTATTTGGATTAACTGGTCCCCTCCTCCCTCCGGTTTTTTAAAGCTAAATGTGGATGGGGCATCGAAAGGAAATCCTGGAAGAGCTGGGGCTGGAGCTGTGGTAAGGAATGAATGGGGGCACATTGTCTTGGCTGCTTCTTTTTTCTATGAGGTTTGTTCAAACATGGAGGTTGAGCTTTATGCACTCAAGGATGGTTTATTGTTGTTTAGAAGTTATGGGCTGTTAGACTGTGGCCTTCTGATTGAAACTAATTCAGCGGTGATGGTCCAAATGGTGATGAAAGGGCACATGAGGGCCCGGAAGTTTTGGAAGATTTGTGATGAGATCATGGAGTTATTGAAGGGCATGAATTTTAGTTTGGCTCATGTATACAGGGAAGCAAATTGCTTAGCTGACTGTCTTGCAAACCTTGCTGTTTTGGAGGGTGCCTCTTCGGATTTCACACGTGATTTGAAGATTCCTTTCCGGGCAAAATTAATTCAGATCCAGGATCAACAAGGTGTTAAAACGTCAAGGAAAAAGTTTACTAATTTTTGATTCTTTGGTTTTTACTTATGAATCATCCAATCGGGCTGGGGCTTTTGTTTCTCATTGCTTGGCTTCTCGCAGCTGGTGTGTTTGCTTCCTTTACCCTGCTGGGAAGCTTAGGCAACATTTGTACATTAAATGCAGCTGGGGGGACATTCCGGTGGCTTTTTTGCTGTTTTTGGTCAGGGAGTACTATTCACGCGACTGTTCACGTGAACAGTCTGCTTCCTGCTGCTGGCGGTTTTTCTCAGCTGACCTCTACTGATATTGCAGCTGCTGTGGGTGATTTTCAGATGGTTTTCAACTGGTTTTGGTCATGACACACTGTTCACGCTACTGTTCACATGGACAGCCTGTTTGCGGCTACTGATGGGCTCTTTCAGCTGGTTTTTTCTGGATCTCAGCTGGATTTTGTGCTGATTTCAGCTGGGGATCGTGGCTCATTTTGTTGCTACAGCTGGTTTTATCAGACTTTATCTTTGGTAAACATTGAAGGCTTTCCACGGTTCTGCTCAGAGGGTTTTCAGCTGGATTTCCAGCTGGTCTCAACGGGTTTCCAGCTGGTTTTCCATGATTTCTTTGTGGTTCTCTGCTGGTTCTTATGGGCTCCACTTGCTGCTGTGATGGTTCATGTGCACAGCTTTCTTGTCGCTGCTGCTGGCCACCTCTGGTCTCTTTTTCTTCAGCTGGTTTTGCTGATTTTCTCATGGTCTCTCAGCGGTTCTTTCATCTGCTTGACGCTGGCTATTGGTCTGCTGCTGTGGGTTTCTCTGTTGCTGCTTCCTTCGGCAGTCAGCTGGGGATTTGTTCTCAGCGGGCTCTCAGTTGCTGTGTTGGTTCTGGGCTTATGTTCATTCCTCATGGTTTTCATCATCTCGCAGTTGCTGTCTCTTGGGTTTCCAGCTTTCCTCCAGCTGAATTTTCTGGATCTTCAGCTGGACTCTCAGCTGGCTTTTGCTGGCCTTCATGTCCCATTTTATGTCCTTTTCTTTTTTGATGGTTTATGCCACATTGGCTTCCTTGTTTTTGTTAAAGCCCGGCTTCCTTGCTTCTTGTAATTTCTGCTCATTTCAATATATCCTCCTTTTTTTTAAAAAAAAAAAAAATAGGGTTTAGGAAAAGCATGGTGAGAGTTGTGGTGAATGTTGGAATATTTGGGTCGCCGGAGTTGGACTCCAGAGAGAAAGGGAGGAGACAAATTGTTAGAGCAATTACTGAGATACCTCGGCGTAAGAGATTTTGGGGATGAGCTGGGCATGAGAGATTTTGGGGATGAGTAGGGGAAGATTTTGGGGATGAGTTTGGAAGGCAGAGGATGAGATTGAGAAGGATTCTGAGAGAGATTTTAGGGGAAGATATGGGGGAATCAGAGGAGACTGGGGCGTCAGTCAAGCAAAAAGCCCTTATAATTAAAACAGGAATTTTGTTGGGCGGGGAAACTAATTTCGGTAATCACAATATACCGTTAGATCAAAATTTTTGAAATGATCTGAACCGTCTTTTATGTTGAGATTACATTGTCCGTCGGATGTGCTTATGTTTTGTCTCAAAACGATCTGAACCACTCTTTGTCTCTTGGATTCAAACTCAACTCTACTTTATTATATAGATTATAGCATTGTATATTAAATTTTATCACAATTGACCTAGATAATCTTAATACAGTAAGGTTCCAATATGATTAATTTATTGATAATTATTTTTATTTTATTAAATGATTTATAAGTAAAATCTTAATCAAATTAATTTTTTAATTATTTATTCTTTATTTATAAATGTCAATTTTTATGAAACTTTTTGACTTATTATATTACTCTTCAAAAATATATGCATTATTATAAGTTTTAACAAAATATTAAAAAAAAACCTTCAAAAACTCCATTAATATAATATTACTCATCTCATTTATAAAGATAATATTATGACTACGTATGTATATTTTATTTTTCATCAAAACCATTTTATTTTTAAGAAAAAAATAATGTATATATAGTTTTATATAATTTTTTAGTTATAGTAAACTTTTTAAACTATGTTATATCAAATAATAACCGATCATTTTTCTTAAAGTTAGAATAACCAATCTTGAAAATATACAAAATTTTCAAAAATTCTATAATGGAGCATGAGCAATGAAAAAATAAATTTGGTAAAATTGAGATGATATTTAATTCAAACATATATACCAAATAATTATTTATTAATTTTTTTTAAAAAAAATTAGTCACGTGCAACGCACGTGGCGCATTGCTAGTACAAATATATGTTTTATTTACACTTTGAACAAGGACTTCATTTTGACTAGAACAAAGGTTTGAACATAATCATAATATTCAATGATCGAGATTTAAAGCAATATTTAAGCATATATCAATATCTAGTGTGTGTCACACCCTGTTTCCCATAAAATGAGAAACATGAGTTTAAAACCATAATAATTATACTTAGGTTACTCCGGATTTTATTAAGAAAATATCTATATCTATACTACTATAAAATATCAACATATATGAAAAACATTTTTTAGACACTTTTGTCCTCCAAAATTTTGAAAATGCCAAGATCACCATTGAATTTAAATACCAAACATTTGTGACATTAATCATACACATCTCCATTTTTAAACTTTTGGTTTCCTAACCTCTTTTCTCTCAACCACATCTCTATATTTACTTCCATCCTTCACATACCAATTGTTCGCTTCTACCCATAACAAATAAATGACTTTCTTGTATGTGACTTTCTTGTAGCTCTGAGGAGGAGATTTCTCATCAGGCTGTCACTTTCTTTACTAAATTGTACAAGTCTAAAAACCATACCCTTGATGAAGAGTTATTTGGGGTCATTCCTGAGCTTGTTGGACCAACTGACAACGAGAATTTGACTATGGCTGCCACCTTAATTGAAGTTAAATAGGTTGTGCTTTCTATATCTGTGGAAAGCGCCCTTGGAACTGATGGTTTCTCTGGTAGATTCTTTCAAGTTGCATGGGATATTATTAAACATGACATGTTAGAAACGGTTAACTTTTTCTTAAGTGGGGGAGTGGTCCCAAGATCGGTCAACCCCACACTCCTCGTTTTGATTCCAAAAGTGTTGAAGCCCTGTTCTTTCTCAGAGTTCAGGCCCATAAGTCTATGCAATTTTTTATACAAAGTCTTCACTAAGATCCTATCCAATAGACTTGCTTCCCTTCTTCCATCTCTGATTTCAAATGCATAGCATGGTTTTGTCAAAGGGAGAGGGATTGGGGACTGTATTTCTTTAGCTCAGTTAATGGTGGAGAGCTTGATAGGAAAGTTGAGGCTGGCAACGTGATTCTTAAACTGGATATGATGAAGGCGTACGATCGCATAGAGTGGGATTTTTTGAAAAGAACCTTGACTTGTTTTGGCTTTTCAAGCTTGTTCATTTCTATCATTGGCAACTGCTTAAAGAATCAATTTTTCTCGGTCTGCTTGAATGGGAAAAGATTCGGTTTCTTTCCTTCGTCTAGAGGACTGAGACAAGGTGACCCAATTTCTCCGGCTCTCTTTATTCTGGCAGAGGAGGTTTTAAGTAGAGGACTGTTGAAGCTGTATGGTGAAGGCAGAATCAAGGCTTTTCATGCAGGGAGGAATGCACTTCTTGTCTCTCATCTGCTTTTTGCAGATGATACTCTACTGTTTCTTAGGGGTAATAAACTTTCCATGGAACGATTGATGAGGTTTTTGGCAAGATACAAGGATAGCTCTGGACAGAGGATAAGTAAACATAAAAGCTCTTTCATATGTTCCTCCAATATTCCTCGGGGCAGGACAATGACTCTATCCAGAATTGCTCAAATTCCAATAAAACAATGTCCCTTCGTCTACCTGGGATGCCCCATGATAAGAGGAAGATATAAACTGCGGGATTTTGAGGATGTGGTCCTAAAATTCAAAGCCAAAATGGAAGGGTGGTACGCACGCTTACTTTCAAACATGGGCAGAATTGTGTTGATTAAATCAGTCCTTAATTCTGTTCCTATTCATTTGCTCGCTTGTCTAAGCGTGCCCAAAGGCATCCTGGCAAAGTTGAATTCTCTCATGGCCTCCTTTATGTGGCTAGGCAGGATGGGGGAGAGGAAAAGGCATTGGGTTTCATGGTCTGTAATTACAAGACCCAAGCAAGAGGGGGGGCCTAGGGATTCGTAAATTTGAAGATATCCAAACGGCATACCGTTGGAAGCAGGCATGGGGTATTCTTAAGGGCGACTCTCTGTGGGCAAACATGTTTAGAGAAAAATTCTTAAAAGGCAATCACTTGATGCGATGCACGGGTACTGGAAAAATGCGTATATTTCGAATGCTGCAACCTTTCTTTAGCTTGATTATGACCAACTCACAGGTCATGGTGGGGAATGGGAAGAATGTTGACTTTTGGTGTTCGAACTGGACTGGATCTGGCCCTCTTCTGCTCAGGTATGTCGTTTCTCCCTCGTGCTTTCCATGCCTGGATGAGTTATGGGCTGATGGGTGCTGGCAGTGGCAAAGTTTGGGGGTGCAGGTATCTGAACAGTTAAAGCATGAAGTACAGAATTCTATGATTTGTTTAAGCGAAAAGAAAGATCGACTGATATGGAAATTAACTGATTCGGGAGAGTCCAATGTCAAGTCTGCTTGGGAGGCAGTGAGAGCTTCGAGTGTCCCTGTGCCTGTGACCTCTGTGATCTGGAACCAATCGATTTTCCCAAGTGCAAAACTGCTGGGCTGGAAGATATATCAGAAAGCAGTAGTAGAGGACTCAAACTTCCAACGGGTCGGTGTTGATTTGGCCAGCAGATGTTCTCTACGTTACAAGGCTGTGGAATCTACTTCTCACCTGTTCATACAATGCAACTTTGATAAAGAGGTTTGGGGGAAACTGGCTGCATTTCGTGGTTTTCAGGTTTTCTCCGCTGAATCCTTTGGTTTGTATGATGAGACTGATCAAAATTTTTAAAAAACACTCTGTAAGTCAGAACTTGTTAAGAGGTGTTCCACTGGTGGTAATTTGGAGATTATGGAGGGAGCGATGCAGAAGGGTCTATGAAGATAGCTCACTCTCGGCCTATGCTGTGTTTCTAGATATCTGCTCCACTCTGCGTCTTCAGGCTTATGGCGTTAGACCCAAAGATAAGGAAGGCATGATTGGTATGGAATTCTTGAGGGCATTAAAGGTAGAGCTGAGGCATGAGCTGAAACAAAAAATTATTTGCATAAACTGGTCCCCTCCTCCTTCGGGCATTTTAAAGCTAAATGTGGATGGGGCATCGAAAGGAAATCCTGGAAGAGCTGGGGGCGGAGCTGTGGTAAGGAATGACTTGGGGCACATAGTTCTGGCTGCTTCTTTTTTTTATGAGGTGTGTTCCAACACGGAAGCTGAGTTGCATGCTCTCAAGGATGGTTTATTGCTATTTAGAAGTTATGGACTGCTAAATTATAATATTCAGATTGAAACTGATTCGGCCATGATGGTTCAAATGATAATGAAAGGGCACATGAGGGCCTGGAAGTTTTGGAGAATTTGTGATTTGCTGTTTTGGAGGGTACCTCTTCGGATTTCACACTTGATTTAAAGATTCCTCTCCGGGCTAAATTAATCCAGATGCAGGATCAACAAGGTGTTAAAACGCCAAGGAAAAAGTGCGCCATTTTTGTGATTTTTTACCTATATTATGGATCCATTTCACATGATGGGGCTTTTGCTAAGGCTGCCATGGTTTATGGTCATTGGACTGTTTAGCTGGTTTTGCTCTAGTCAGCTGATTTTCTTTCCAACTGGTTCTCTCTGTGATGTGGTGCTTTCAGTTTGGAGGACTCTGCTGGTTTCCCTTGTTCCTGCTGGTTTTTCAGGCAACATCTGTTTCTTTAATGCTGTTGTGGGGGTTCTCATGTTGCTTTTCTGCTGCTTGTTGTCTGGATGCACTGTTCATGTGAACTGCTTCGCGATTGCTGCAGATTGTCTCTTCCAGCTGATCTCAGTTGGTTTATTGGCTGGAACACAGTTGGTTTTCAGCTGGGACTTCAGCTGCTCCTAGCTGAGATTTATTGTTACT